AAATAGAGCATGCGTTTTACTGTTTTGAGAAGAAAGGCTGCTTCACGTTAGCCTGTGACAATCAACATCAGCCTCCACTAGTAAACTATACACCTACAACACGTCAATAGGAAATCCAAAATTCATTGTTTCGGACGCCGGTAGACGGTTTTTTCCCGACTTTTTGAGGGCTCAAAACATGGTTCGAGTTATCCAAGGTAAAATTATATAGAAAATGACCTGAGGGAAAACGAAAATTGGTTCGAGTTAGCGGGAGTTCGAGTTATCGAGGGTTCGAGTTACCGAGGGTAAAATTACAATTAATGTATGATGGAAATCCAGGGGTTCGAGTTAGCGCGAGGTTCGAGTTAGCGAGGGTTCGAGGTATCGGGAGTCAACTGTAGTTGTTTTAAAGGGACAGGTTCGCGGTTAAGCGCATGCTCATTAATTAAATTACTTTTTTTCAATTAATTATTAATCCTATCGGTCAAACCCACTCACATGTATCTCAGCGATCTCAGAGTGTTTTTCAAAGTAGAAGTATATTTAAGAGTAACTTGAAGTAGGATGGAGGAGTACTAAAATCGCAGAAAAAAATTACTGGCTTATGCCAACGCTACCAACGTTGAATTTATTGTTGACCGGAAGGTTTTATTCCATGGTTGATTAATTTACAGCTATTTGCACTTAAGTTGATCAAGTGGCTGCCAGGAGAGTGTGCAGATTGGTTCTTTGACAATATTATGACATAATCATATTGCTTGAATAGACGATACAGCATGTCCTGGCAGAAAAATAGCATTTTGTTAAATGAGCATGCGCTGAACAGTGAACCTGTCCCTTTAAAACACTTATAAAGATTGTGATTGAATCCTCAAGCAAAAAGGAATAAGTTGGAAAATTTCAACTGAGATTTTGGCAAACAAACAAAAAATTAAACTTAGCTTTAAATCAATCAAATGAGGAAAATAATTTTGCATAGCCCCATTTCAAAATTTCTCCAAAATCAGAATGTTTAATGTTTTCGAATGGCTTGCATAGCAACGCTCTATCATGTTATGAAATAGTTTTAACGATGCACGCAAAGCCTACGAGATAAATTTTACTTTCTCAGATTCCTTATTTTTATCAAACATAATTTTTTTGTATGAATTCATTTTATGAAATGCTAGCCTGCTCACAGCGGTTTTTCTTTCTTTTTTTCTCGGCAATTCGTCTCTCATACGCGCGCTCGAAGATCTCTCAAGAGAAAATAAAGAGTCTGTGAAGGGTACTGAAAGTGCTCGCTTTTCAGTCTGTTTTAAATCTTAATCACTAGGTAATTAGTAATTCACGGTTCTTGATATTAGACGTTTTCAGGTAAAACTTTAACCCCGAGGCAAAATTTTCTGGCCCGAAACAAAGACAATGCCCATATGATCCCCATCTTTCGACTTTCGCAGAGGGCCGGGTTTGCTTCTTAAAATTTATGAAGATTCCCAGTTTCAAAACGTTTAACGTATGTGAGGTCACAAATGAAAGAGATGACAAAAAAAGAGAAAGAAAGAGCCATGAAATCCCGTGTAAATCTCAATAATCTCTTACCTATCGCCTTGCTTGATTTAATAGCCAGATGTTTTAATGACTGCAAAAGGATTTTCAAATTTAACTTCCTCTATTCATCTTTGCCGACCAACTTTCTATTTAAGACTGACTACTGAAGCTCAGTGCCGTCCATGTCGCCAGATGGTCCCCGAATGTAATTAAGAGTCAAATTGCAGCCAGAAAGCCTCTTCTTTTTTTAACACGGATTGAATTGTATATCACATTTAATGGGTCCTTTATGGTTTATTTATGAGGCGCCTGTTAAAATATTAGGATAATTTAGTACCCATGCGTCGATTATTCAGATACGCCACTCTGGTTTGGTCTAAAGTAACCAGTGGGGAGATTGATCGTGATTGGGCAAATTGCGTCAAATGTGATTCCAAGCGCAAGTTATTTGCACTGAAGCCAGATTCCTTTATCGAAAGTTATTTCAAGATTTTGGAGTACTGACAGTAATGTTGAAACCTTCCCTGATTTTCGAAAGAAAAATGTCGACCATCAGCTGGGATTGCTTGTTGGTCTAAGTTTCAATACATTTTCACGAGGATAGCTCTTGCGTCCTGCATGCATTAGAGTTGTGCATTGAGGCCATAATAGCTTTTTGTTCAGAACTGCGATGGCCCAAATTGTGTCGTTAATTGACGTGAATAATAGAACTAATTCTTCCTCTAAAATAGTGAATATATGAATATGATTTCAAAACCACAGGATGATGGCCTAAACACACAAACTCGAATGGAGTGCAAGGATACTCATCGTAACTCATCACGGTTGGATCTCAAGACAACTGACTGTGATAATCTTTGCATTTGATGCTTCTTCCCTATTTATAATTTCATGGTGGGGTTGCATGAGAATTTTAATCTGAAGATATGGTCTGGTGGTCTAAGATTACCTTCTGAGTTTGCTATTGATCTCTTTAATTCACATCTATTTAGTTTTTAAACTATTCAAAGTTCAGTAGGCATGAAATATTGAAAGCTTTAATTAATCCAGCAGGAATAACAAAAAATGTCTTGCTTGACGACTTTGAACTTTTTGTTTTTGTTTTTTAGTGGAGCTAGGTTGGTTTTGATGATTATGTAATTTTAAAAACCCTCAGCAGTACTGACATCTTAAGCCCTTTCTTTTTGTTCCCAAGATTACTCAAGTGATCCTATTTCTTTCTACTGACTACATCTGTTCATGCACGTTCATCATATACATATATATATATATATATATATATAAATACTTGTATTCTGGGTAGAACGTATTCCGTAGAGCGCTCAATTCATTTAATTGAAGAGCATTGACTATTAATAATCACAGGAGTTCAGGCTTCAGGAGTAATCATTGATCGTTTATTGCGACAGTGCTGTTTCGTATGGTCCGAAATTGTAGGACCACACTCGTTGAAGTTGCCTGATGAGTGTGGTCCTACAATTTCGGACCATACGAAACAGCACTGTCGCAATAAACGATCAATGATTACTCCTGAAGCCTGAACTCCTGTGATTATTAATATATATTTATATATATCTGTCTGATTTTGGAAAAAGGTACCCTACAACAGAAGAGGATCTGTAACAAATGTATGTCTTTTCTGTGGTTCCAATATTGACTTAACTTTTAAATTACCAAAAAGGCCTTAGAGTGGCCAAGCTTCTTTCAAGTATGGTAGAAATTGGCTAATGAGCCACACCCCTTCTCCCCCTATTCCCCTCAGCCCTGCATCCGAGGCCCTTGTCCTAACAGCTTATATGGGCCGGAGCAGAAAAACAATAAACTAACAGCATGCAATGACTTCAATGCTTGCGTGCATGACCACTACTGTATAACGGAACGTTAGATAGCTACTCTAGCCAATAGTTGGGACTCTGAGAAAGGTGCCCTTTTCTAAAATCAGACAGAAAATTAATATGTGGTAATTTCCCAAATGACTAGGTAACTGCCCCAATGAACACTCAACCACTTTCTCCACTGGCCAGCTATCTGCTGCAGTAAGTATTCAAGTGGTACACAAATCATTACTTATCCAGTTACAGTGAATAATATGTGGTAATTTCCTAATGACAAGGTAACTGCTTCAATATGAATGTACTCAACAGCTTTCTCTAATAGCCAGCTATCTGCTGCAGTGAATATTGAAGCAGTACACAAATCATTGCTTATCTGTTAGGGTGAATTAATACGTGGTAATTTCCCAAATGACCAGCTAACTGCACCAATGAATACTCATCCACCTTCTCTAATGGCCACCTATCTGCTGCAGTGAATATTAAAGCAGTATACACATCATTGCTTATCTGTTAGGGTTAATTCTGTCTGATTTTGGAAAAAGGTACCCTACAACAGAAGAGACTCTGTAAAAAATGGATGCCTTTTCTGTGGTCTGCAAATTGACGTAACTTCTGAATTACCAAAAAGGCCTTAGAGTGGTTAAGGTTCGTTCAAGTGTGGTAGAGGTTGGCCAGCGAATCACGCCCCTTTCCCCTCAAACCGCCCCCCCCCACCCCCCACCTGTTTCTGAGGCCCTTGTCCCAACAACTAATATGGGAGGAGTATAACGAACAAAACGTATGCACTGATTTCAATGCTTGCGTGTGTCACCACTACTGTATGGCGGTAAGTTAGATAGCTACACTAGCCAACGGCTGGAATTCTTAGATAGGTACCTTTTTAGGTGAAATCAGACAGAAATAACACAAGTGTTAGCTATCTCTTGTAGTGGATAATCTGCCATGGTGATCTTTCTAATTTGGCCAGAAAAGGTTTCTTAAAGCACACAGGGTTTGTAAGCAATCTAGTATGCTATTTTCGTGGTCCTTGTATTGTCCGTTGGGTCTGTTTTTTTCGAAAGGGTCAAAGTTCTTTAGGCTCCTTTAGTGCAGTGACCACTGCTTTACTCCCTCTCTGGTGAAAAAAGATAATAATAATAAATAATAACAAGCAACAGCAATTCAGGGAAAGAAGTATTGCAGCATAAAATACTAGCATTACTAAAGTTTGTTAACTGGTTCAAGTTAATAGTAGCTTTGAGAGAGAAATATTCGGAGCACCTCTTGCGGTTTCCAAGCAAGATGTCCTATTTACCGTTCTCGTTTTAACCCCAATTACCTGCCGGTAACTCTTGCGGCAAGAACCAAGAGCTTTTGCTCGAGTGTCTCCCAGAGTTACCGGCATTTAAAGACTGACAGAAACGTCAAGACTTCTACCTGTGAAAGTCAAAAAAAACAAAAAACAAAAAAACTAATGCAGTTTCACTCACCGTGATCTCTTGCAGCGAAGTTGCGCATGGCCGCGGAGGACTGTGTAATTGCCCCAAACGGGGCAAAAACCCAGGCTTCGCGCGGGCGACAGCTCCGTGGGCCATTTGTACGATGACGTATCCCTTTATTTTTACTACTAAGACCAGAGTTCATTTCGTTTTTTCTTTTCTATTTAAATTTGGTAGTCCCAGTAAGGTTTTAATAACAAAAGCCTTAACTTGCACAAGAAAGCAATACCCTGATAATGGTAAAATGACACCACGTGCAAATGGCCTACTCCATTACGTAAGAATACACTTTCTCACAAACAAGAAAACCCTCCCAGCGCGAACTTCACTCTCTGTAATATAAAACGCACGGTTTTTCGCCAACCCTACTGTTAACCTCTGTCCGCAAAGATTAGCATCTATCAACAGGCCCTAACTATCTGGGTGACCTGTGCTGCACCCATAATTCAGTTGTGTCTAAAATCAAATATGGCGATCTCCAGGATCTCAGAGGGATCGAGCAAGGAATATTCCAAGATTCAGGGTTTCTTTGTACATCGTTATAATCGGTAAGCAAACGGTTACAGTGTTACATTCATTGGACACTGCAGTACAAATTGTATTGCGAAATCCGTTCTCGTCTCTCATGGCAGCTGTGTAGTATAAACCCTTACAAGCTTGTGTTGTTTATTTCAGGCCTACACATAATTAATCGCTAGGATATTTACAGTCAAACGAAATCGAGCCTTATAACACTAATGAAACTCAAGACAATATGAATAAAATAGTATCGAACCTGCGTGCTAAAACCGGACCACAACACCTGTTTGAATATAATTTGCAGAATGTAGTAAAAAAAACAGCAACAACAAAAAAAAACATATGTATTTTAAAATGATGTTCCTTCGAATTCATTATCAGTTTTATGCTTTCTGGAGATGATTTCTTGTCAAAGTCAGGTATTATTCGATTGATTTGATTAATAAATGCCTGTCTCTGTATTGAGTATTTGTTACATTGAAAGAGGAAATGAATCTCATCTTCTACCTGATTTGAGTTACATAAGGGACATAATCTATTTTCTCTTGGCAAATGATCGATTTGGTATCGACCATGTTCAATCATAAGTTTGTGATTACTTATTTTAAATTTAACAAAATTCTGTCGTTCGTCATAACGTCTTAGCTGGTAGAGATAATCAGATGTAGAATATTCGTCTTTAAAAAGTTTTATAAAATTCTAGTTTTTTTGAATTTTCAAGGCTGTCCCACCAAAAGAAAGATAGATTTTCTCTCTCATTTCTGTGGTATATCGTCTAATTTTATCATTATCTAGACATTCAGCATCTAAACTGGTTAGATTGTATTGTTCAAACATGTTTATGAAATTGGAAAAATATCCTGAATGTAGATTCTTTGACATAAGGAAAGACTGTTTGACTATAGAGTCATTATCTTTGTTGTTGAGGTAAACAAAATATTTCATAATTTTCAGATTTATCGGGATAAGCAGCGGCAATCTATCAAGTTCAGCTCTGCAAGCTATGTTAGAGGCCTTATTGTTAACCTCTAAGTAACGTTTACAGAATTTGAGGTGGACTTTTTCTATTGGGGAGCTATCCCATTTTTTAAAATCTTGCTTGGTGTACACTCCCCATACCTCACTGTTGTAACTTAAGATTGGGAATACCATGGTGTCAAAAATATGGGATGCAGTATTAGGATTAAGTTTGTTAAGAATTGTCCGCTTCCGAATACTAGAAAACGCGTGAAGGGCCTTGTCTTTTTTGAGTGTTCGAGTGCAAGTGTAAAGTTTCCCATTGGAGTTAAACGTGTACCTAAATAAGTGTATTCTTGGACAATTTCAATTGACTCACTGCCTATGTTGAATTTGATGTCAATGGATTTTTTTGGGCGTTTCTGGAATATCATAATTTTTGTTTTTTTCGGATTAATTTTTAGCTTCCATTTGTCACAATACAAGGAAAGCGCATTTAAACAGTTCTGTAATCCAGTTTTCGATCTTGATAGAATAACTAAATCATCTGCGCATAAAAAGTGAATTTATTTTTTTTTTTCCATTTGGAAGAACAAATGGGTCAGATAAGGTGTTTTTTAAATAAATGTGGTACATTGTTTAAATAGAGGTTAAATAAAGAGGGCTTAAAATACAGCCTTGGCGTACACCTCTGGAATATGAAAAAGGCTGTGTTTTGTTTTCACCGATTTTGATGGAACATGTCGAGTTGCAATAAAGGCTTTTCATGAGGTTGTACAAGACTAGTTTCCTCCTATATTCGTTTCAGAGACATGGCAATTGGTCTTGTGTTTACATAACCCACACGGAATCAAGCATGACATTCCCTTAGCAACATAACAATTCAGCCATTCAGAATTCAGCTGAATGCATCAGAATGATTGTTCATCTTGTGCTGCTCACGCTTGTTCAAAGCAAAACAGATTAAAAACGCTGTTTTAAACTCACGTTTGGGGGGAGTAATGAAATGTGAAATGGAATAATGAATGTCGGCATATATCAGAAACAAAGTGTGAGTCATCGAGACACTGTTGCATTACAAAGCAAAGATAATCACAGGAGTACACTGAAACAAAAAACCATTGACCCTCCATACTTGTTTGTGTAGCCCAAAGATTGTTAATTGCTGCAGTTTATGTTGGTCTTTTCTGTCTAGTCCACACATTGAAATAAAGGATTCCGTATCATAAGCAAGCGATTAATCCTTCAATCTCCACAGCGTGGTACTAATGTTGTTGGAGATGTAAACTTTATTATTCTCCTAGTTGATCAGAGAATTAAACTGTTGGACATACACAACAAGGTTTTAAGATTCATCACAGGCCTTTTCCTCCGACTGTCAAGCAGACAGCTTTTTTGAACATATAGACAACCTCAAGATTGCCTCTTTCAGGTTTAGGGTTCAGTGTTGATTTTCCTTCTTGAATCCAGGGGGACCATTACTTATGCCACATTCTGACAGACCACATAAACAATCACCGGCAGCATCTTCTGGGGAAAGGAAGTGGAAACATTATTTTTACTTGTGGTACGTAAATGCTTACAGTAGTCTATTATTTTGTGCACTTGATATGGGGTGTGCTGAAGTATAAGCTGTTCACATAATGATATGCCAGAATTGAAACCCATCCCTAATCTTAAAAGAAGAGCCAAAGGATCTTTTAGCATTGCAGCTGGATCTCAAAGGTGAAAACCACCTCAAGATCTCACTGACCCTTAAAAGAATTATGGGGACTGGTCAAAAAGCCCATGACAGACACCGCCTCGGTTACAATAAACAGGGTCAATAAAGGAATGAAAGGTATCAAATCACAGAATGTAGTCCCTGCACGATTTTTGCTCTGTAAAAGGTTGGTAATGGCGAGAAAAGGTAGAAAATTCTTCGGCTGGTGTTTTTGTAAGTTCTTAATCTCACCGAGACTGGTCGGTTGTACCAGATCAGTATTGATTTTATGCCGTGGATTTTTTTCCACACAAAATTAATGGGGAGAAAATCGCAATGTCTAGTTTTTTCCGGCTGCCTAATCTGCACACACTGCTAATTACCAGCCCAGATGATACATTCTAATGGCTAAGACAGAGACTTAAGATTAAACCATTTCATGCCAGAAATCAATCTTTTCTCAGTGTAATGATTCCATTCATCTTCAGTCAAAAGCCTAGAGGACTAGACATCCTACTAGTACATTCACTGTATTAGTGTTATTTTTTGTAATTGAAACCATTCCTTCAAGAAGGAAGTTGGATTCAAGTTTTGCTTGCACAAATAAAGGCGAGTTGTTCACAGTCAGAAATAGGTTGCTCCAGCTTTTAAAGTGCAGTATAAAAGAAGTTTTATTGTATTCATTTTATCCACACAGCAACTGTGTACACTGCTAGAGACTTTGCAGAAGAAACCAGTGCCACCCTCCAGTTAGCCATGACAAGCTTAAGACAGGTTGGAAATGGGCCAGTGTTTTGCTGTACTAGTTGAGGAGTCAAACACAGTAGATAGCCCTTAAATATACGTGGCTAGCCAAATTCACTCCTTAATCCTCTTGGATGGAGATGTACATGTATCACTTCCTGCAGCACAAGAATGTTGGGGGTGGCTTCTTCTGACTGGAGTTGGGTTAGACAGTCAATGGGTAGAAAAGCAACACTGCCTCGTCCCGGTCACCATGGTCACCTTCAAAAAACAAAGGCGGATGCCATCATTTCAACACAAGCAAGAGATCCATTCACCAGGCATTCATGAAGTAATGGTAAGGTAAGCAAGTGCAGTAGAGAAACTTTGTTTACACTTAACATTCACCTTGTGCACAATTTATGAAACTCAGCTCGTTCTGAGCAGGAAGCAGGAATATTGCACATCTGTTATAACTGCCAAAGACTTTTCTAAATTGGCTGTCTTGATAATTTTTGCCAGTAACACATAGATATACCATAAACGTGCAGTTGCAGAATTGTGCTTCAGTTTCAGAGTTCCAGTCTCTCTCTTTATCAGCTAGCCTGTGTGCAGTACCCCCCCTTCCCCTCCCTTCTCCGATTTTTCCTGCAGGGAGGGAGGGGGTCTGTATACAGGCTATTTATTAGCATAAAATTGGCTGTGTAGGTGGTTTGGGGGCGTGGCAGGGGGTGTTGTAGCTCAAAACGAAATTTCTTTTAATTTTTTTCACATTTTGTCTTTCAGCCTGCCCTGGTTCCAGATCAGATGGGATCAAGTTGCCACTAAACTATTTACGGTCAAATTCAGTCAAGACTGCCATTTGCACAATAAAATAAACAAATGGGAAGTTTTGTGGCATTTTCATCCATAAGAATTACTTTGTACAGTATAACTTTCAGCCAGGATTGAATTAATTGAACCACAGGGTTAGTTAAGTTTGACAATGCTACATGCAAGTACCGTAATTGTCAACGTAATAGAGTTTGCTGGAACGATGAGGAAAAAGGGAAATTCTTATCAGGAATAACTCAAAAAGTTGTGCTATTTTCTCCTCTTGTGGGGATTAACTGATCCACTGGGATCGATAGCAGTACTAAGTTTGACACTAACTTGCCTTTTCAATAAAGTGACCATATTGGAAAATAATAATAATCAAAGAAGGGTTTACTATTGCAGCCTCCTTTTCCGTAACACCTCTCCTTACAAAATATACAGTATACAGTACATGGATCTCCAATAAATTTATGTATTATAACAAGTGCTGTATAAGAAGGAGAGAAGCCCGGTTTAAATAAGTGCCTTTCTCTCACCCCCTCCCGCCCTTCATTCTCCAGAAATTCGCAAAAAATAAGTAAGTGCTCCACTAGCCTGTTCCAGGCGTTCAGACAGTAGAGCGTGTTAACTGACTCCCCACCATTTGAACACTGTACTCTACTATCTGAACACCTGGAACAGGCTAGTGCTCCGGGCTCTGGGTTTATCCATAGCCATGATCAGGCCGCAAGTGCATTCATTGGAAGATATGGCCGAATTATAATATCATATTAAAAGATGCCAGGACAATGGTATGATCTATTTAAGCCAACAGACAGTAAGTTGTAGAACATGAAGATGTTACATTTCTAAGGAAGATGCAAATACACACCGACCAAGGATTCGCTACTTAGAGACCAGACATTGTCATCTAAGATCACGAAAACATGACGTGCAAACTACGTTGCAAAGCGTTTAGATAAGACCACCTCTGTTAAGGTCACTGAAAAACTCTCAGAATACGAAGACCTAGAAACTGAAGTCAATACCTTAGGGCTAAGGGTTAGTCTCAGTCTTTGTGAAGCTTTTCTTAAGGAAAGCACAATGCAAAGGCTCAGATGTTGATGATAGTAATAATGACAATAATAAAAATAATAACGACAACAACAACAATAAATCAAGAACTGCAGAGCCCTCATCAGGGATGTGAAATATGGTGTCTTTTTCAATTGTGGCGATTGCAATTCTAACGACGACAAAAACTTACGATAATTACGTGTGCTTTCGTGGAACAATCGATCTGACTTTTTCACGTGTAGATTACTTTCCCTGGGTAGCAGTGGATGCGGACGACAGCTAAAAATAGCCACGTCTCTGGGTACAAATACTCACCCGTCCCAGTGCTTCTCGTCTCTCTCAGCGCAGCCATGCGAAGAACTACTGACTTTGCTGTCCTTCAGCAATAAAACAACGATTTTCACTGACCTGAAACCCCTTCCATCGCGTAGTTTATGTTCCATATTTATATATGCACAGTTTTTCTCTCTTGCAAAATTCACCCCCTCCGAGAAATAAGCCTTCAAAAAAAGCTTACTCTCTGCCTCAAAGCGAGGCGCGCTAAAAGAACCAGTCACGCGATCTACCATACTCTCCAATCTTAAAACGGCTGCAAGCGCAAAACCTAATTAGTTAATCCCCCTGTGTAAAAAAAAAATTAATAAATAAACGATTTTTCAGTCGTTTTTTGGGCCAGTTCTAAACTTTGCACGAGCAGTGGAACGGTGGCGTCTCCCCTTTTACGTAACAGTAATGCGCGTTTTTGTACAACTTGAAGCAGAACTGAAGATTCGAACAAAGCTTGTCGCTCCTGCTTGTCGATAGCTTTTTTTAAAAAAATGGCTTATGCTGCAGCTTCCAACAGTGAAGCAGAGTCAGCTCCCGACCTATCCCGATTTTTGTATGACTTTGACGTGGACAATCAATGGAGCCATTTCCGTCATGGACCACCAACAGCCTCCTCGATTGAACGGGGAAGAAGAAAAACTAGATTCAAAATGGATAAAAGGTACTCTTCAAGGAAGCAAACACCGTCAAGGAGAAAAAATGCCGCCTATCGCGACGTTGACACGGTCAATTTGGTCTGCTGCAACGGTGGATGTCTTTTAAAGAATGGCATAGAGACTGCGAGGCAAGTTATTCGACAGGAACGAGGTAGAGCTTTCCATAGATCTAGAAACTACAACGAACAAAATTACGTGATATCGAAACTTATGCAAGTGGAACTATTTCCTAGCGGACGCAGAAAAATAACCTACAGTATCCCAGCTTTGGGCCCTGTGTGCAAAATCGCCTTCATGAAATGCTACGGAGTGTCGCCTAAAAAAATTAAAGTCCTTTTAGAGAAAATGGATTGTGACTGTTTATCTATTGACCCCGATAAACGGGGTAGGCACAGTAACAGACCGCGCAAATTGACGGAAGATGCGAGGAGACAAGTAACAGAGTTTATCTGTTCCCATTCGGCAAACTACTCGCACTACAGAAGGGCGCGAACGGAAAAACAATTTTTTGATACGCCGACAACTATGCGGAGAATGTGGGGACAGTTTACTAGACAATACCCGAATTTCACCTCGACACGTTTGGGAAAGAAAAACAAAGGTCCTGTTATAAGTTTTACTACCTTCAGGAACGTGTTCAACGAAGATCTCGGCTGCAGGTTGGGTTTTCGAAAACCACGAGAAGACACATGTCAGGTTTGTGACAAGACCTTAAACACGATAGGACGAATGACAAACGGCGCAGCCGAGGACGGCGCCAGAAATGAAGAAGAACTTCAAAGAATAAGAACAGAACGTGAAAATCATTTAACTGAGGGCGAAAGGAGATATGCTGCCTTAAAGTATGACATGTTTGTTCTGTCTAAGAAACGGGTCAATGGGTGTACAGATGAAAGTTAGCAGATGAATTGTCGACGCTGATTTCCTCTTTGCTTTAGCTTGAAGGTCAAGAAAATGTAGGAAGAGTTTAAAACTCAGTATAGTTAAGGTGAATAAAGTGTTGAAAGAATTTGTACTTGCTGAGTTCGAGTTGATTTGAGAGAAGGTGGGTAACTTTGTAGTTTGCGATTTGATGGCACTAGTAATAGGCCCTCTGCAGCTAGCCATTCATGTGGTACAAAACCGCCATGCTGGAGAGCAAAAGTCGCACTGGGACAAGACAGAAAAAAGACATACCGGCATAGTTTTAAATGGTAATTTTCTTTGTTAGTCTTGTCCCAGTGCGACTTTTGCTCTCCAGCACGGCGGTTTTGTACCACGTGAATGACTAGCTGCAAAGGGCCTATTACCTTAGCCTACCAAAGCTAATCGCATGTCTCAGATCAAGGCTTTGTTAACTTGAGGAAAGTACAACCTTCCTATGCCTTATGATAGGTGGGTAGCCCTCCCTCCTACCATGAAACATGGGCCTGAATCCGAAAAAGGGTTGCGTATTTGTTATATATCTGTTTTAAAAAATCGCCCTCCTCGAATTGTCATCCCTTTTAATTATTCATTACATAAAAAAAGTCCCCGTACTAATACAAAATACACACCGCATCACGGAAAAAGATTCACTAAAACACATACAATTTCAGTTCAAAGAAGTACAGGAAACCGTGAGCCATGGCAGACTGAACAGAGATATTTAGAGTCTCTTTTACGGAAAAGAGCAAACGTCAGATTCAAGTTGAGAATTTCACAACAAGAAACAGGGAACACTTGGTCACGTGGTACAAATTCACGTTTGCCGTTTGCCGCAAACGTGACTCTTGGCTCCAACAGGGAGCTTAAGCAACAGCGTTTTTGAGCGACGGACGTCAACCGGAAGTGGGCTTTTTGCAACATTGGGCAGTGGATGGGTTCAAAATCCCGGGCAAATCGTCTTTATAAGAGAAAAGAAACTTAGCAATACAAATTTTTTAGCGGCAAGGCATATAAAAGAAGAGAAGGCCTCACTTCCGGTTGACGTGCATCGCTCAAAGTCGTGTTTGCTTAGGGTCCCTAATGTGAAGACAACTGTGTGCAAGGTCAACGGACCTGCGCGCGCTCTCTTAAGTTTCTCTTCCAATGACTGTCGCAAACGTAAGTGATAACGGTAGTTTTTTTTTTTTTTGAATATCGAGCCACTAGCGCAAGCTGTAAATAACTGAAGAGATAAGTTTCAAAGTAAACTGAGTGCTGCGTTAAAGAGGGCACTATGTGTTAAGCCTCACGTAGTCAAGCCCCTTTCATGGACTAAAATGGCCTCGA